ATCAAATTCTCGATTCGTGACCGTGAATTAATAAAATGAAGGAACGAATCCTGGATTTGTGGCTGCGATTGAATAAAATGAGTGAATGAATGAATCCTCGCTCTTGGCCACGATTCAATAAAACGGGGGATCAAATTCTCGATTCGTGACCGTGACTTAATAAAACGAAGGAACGAATCCTCAATTTGTGACCGCAATTCAATAAAAAAAGGAAACAAGGAAACAAACTCTCAATATATATTTTTTCGTTCACGGCTTTATAAAAGCCTGTTTTGTAACGCAAATAAACGATCCTTGGATTCCCTCCATACTTTAAAACTTAGCTTGCGGTTCATTATTTTTAATGAAAAACTACAATAAATCAAGCAAAGACAAACCCTCTTATATTAAACATTGTTTGGCGCAGATTCTCTCAACTTAACGAAATAGTTATTTCTGTATGAAAAGCAGTCGACGGAAGGTGCAGTGGGCAGGTCATGTAATGCATGAAGGAGCAGCTCTTGTGTAAACGCTGCTCTCCTGTCTCTCAGGGTTTGATCGACACCAGTCTGACGGCATCCGTCATCAATCTGATGGCCATCGCGCTGGAGCGCCACCAGACCATCTTCACCATGCAGCTGCACAGTAAGATGACCAACCACCGGGTGGTGCTGCTGATCGTGGGCATCTGGCTCATCGCCATAGTGCTGGGTTTGGTGCCCTCTATGGGCTGGAGCTGCGTCTGCAACCTCCAGCAGTGCTCCAACATGGCGCCGCTCTACAGCCGCACCTACCTGGTGTTCTGGGCCGTGCTCAACCTGCTGACCTTCACCGTCATGGTGGCCGTCTACACGCGCATCTTCATCTACGTGCGCCGCAAGAGCCACCGCATGAGCCAGCACACCTCGCAGGCCAAGCACAAGGAGACCGTGGTCAACCTGATGAAGACCGTCGTCATGATCCTGGGTAAGACCTCGTTTCTGACTTAACCAATCTTTTCATTTGACTAAAGCAATACAGTGAATTTATAGCAGCTAAGGAGTGCCTAAAACCCCCTCAGCTGTTATAAAATCACTGTAAACCATGGCTTCACGGGGATTATTGCTTTTATAAAATGGATATTCCATATGTAGACAAAGCAAATAAAATGAAATGTAATAATAAAATAGG